GGCCGGGCGGACTGCCCCTCGCCTTGCCTCCCCTCGCCTTCCCCCGGCCGCCGCCCTTCCTCCCCCATCAACCGCAGGTGAGATCCACCGGCAGTCCGCCTGGTCGCTGAGCTCCTCCCACCCTTGACGAGGCGGCGGCGCGCTCGAACTCTTCCTCGACCGAGGGGTGCCGGAGGTGGCGGGCGTCCTAACTCCAGAAGGGGTGGCTCAGCGCAGAGCTCCTGCCTGGTGCGCGCCAGGGTATAATTGCACTGAACCCGCAAGCCTTCAAACTGAAACTGCTGACGGACGCGCTGAAGTCCCTTGAAAGCTGGACGTGAAAGGGAACTGCTGGAACCGGCCACGTGCAGCCCCCCCCCTTGGAAAACGCGCTGGTTTAGAGTAGCGAGCCCCTTTCATCTCCCCGAGTTTATTAGCAAGTAAGCTAGGGTTACCATGCTTGGGCTGAGCTACTCCGGACGACCCTAGGATCAGATAATATTGGGACAACGGTAATGCTAGCGGTCGCCGGAGTTTCCCAACTCCGATATGGCGGCGCTCCATTAATAATAACAGATGTGTGTACTGCCCGACTCCCAGCTAAGGGCAGCCCAGCTGATTTTATCCCCAAAGTGAAGCTCCAGGTGATTTTACTGGGAACAGGATTTGCCAGTCCAACTTGGCAAATTTTGTGAGCCTCAAATCCACTAGTTTAATACATACATTACCCCCTTGTAGTTCCTAACTTGTATTAGGCCCACAACCCCAGCAGCAAAACCCTTCTTTTCACAGCCAGAGATTCAACAGAGAGAGGGAAGTGTGTACAGGACCTGCAAGTGGGTTTGAACCCTGGTGGCATCTTTATTTCAGTAATGCAGTTAACATGGTCAAAAGCAGACTGGCTAGTGAACCCCCATCCAGGGGCTTGAATAGGAAAGGAAGAATGATGATGTTTTGGACTGTGGCCTACAGCCTCCATCTTGTACTAAGACTTTGCACAACAGACCTACCTATAGTTAGCTGAACCATGGTTTGTTGAGTTAATCCAATTGCCTGGATTTATAAGACACTGAACAATATGCTAACCCATGATATATTTTAATTGTTACATAGATGCAAGAAACAGGCTATGTTCACATGACACAGTAAACCACAAACTAATCAACTGGATTTTAGCTAACATATTGTTCAAATCCATGTTATATAGTTAACTTATGGTTCAGAGTATCTTGGGTTAATTGAGATTATTTAAATTAACCATGGCTATGCATGCCCATAATTTTTCTTATAGGCAGCATTATTTTCTCCTTTTATGCCTCTTTTTACATGACTTGCTTACCCATGGTTTTATCATCCCCAGTTGCCTGGACTCATATGACTTATTGAACTGTAACCTAATTATATGGGACGGATTCATGCAGCACACTCAGTTCAAGTCCCTTTCCCTCATTTGTAATTACTACATCATGGGAAGCTGACTCTTCAGTTCACTGAGATTTACTTCTAGGTTAAAAAGAATAGGATTGAAACCTTCATTTCATAGCTAGATTGGGATATGCCATTAAAAAAAATGTGTTTCTAAACAATTGTTAGCCATTATTAGCAAATTAAAAAATGAGTTTAAAAATAAACTTGCTAGCTCAAACACATCTCATTATGCTTTTAGAACAAGGATGCAGTTGCTTGCTAAAGCCAGCATTTGCACTGATGAGAGAGCTTCAGCTGTGCTTTTGTAGAAGCTGTTTAGGACTGTTTACCTTGTGAGCTCTAAATATAAGAGTTTTTGAATATCATTCTGAAACTAATACTCCAGATACATTCAGCTAAAGTTTTAAACATAAATATATTAAGTGGAGAAAATGCAATTGTGAAAAATGCAGTTGAACTAAAACCCAACTTATTTTAAGATTTCAGTGTCATGTAAGAAGTGTTAAAAGAGAGAGAGTCACTAGAGGGTACATCAAGCTGGATCCCTACAACATGATAAGCCTAGATGTGGTTTGCTGGTTGTATAAATCTGCTCTTTTAGCACTGGAGCATTTTAAAAAGAACAATTAATGGCTGTGAAAAGAGAGATTTCAGCAGATGTAGCCTCTCTAGCAAATTGCATGGGCTAAAATTGCTTCTTTCACCCAACTGGCAATCCTCTACATCTTTCCATCCTAAGTCTGGGTGTTTATTAGCTGTTGGTTGATGCTAATGTCACATGTAATTATGTTAATGAGTTTCATCTGCTAGCTTTTTGTATGTTTTTAAAAAAAGCTTTGAACAATTAGCATTTAGGTACTTGTAATGTTTAAGCTGTATCCTAAATACATTTACCAAATAGTAAATACCACGGAATCCAGTGGCCTTCTAAATCAGATAATAGCACTGAGGGCTCCATACTCTACTAGACAATGTGAATGATTATTCTTATCTGTATTATTTGGGTGTGCTCAGCAGTTTCATTCATGACAATTCCCCACTTCATATATTTATTTACATATTAATTACTATTTTGTATTTTTTTTCTTATAGATTTTGTTATTGTTTTACAATCAAATAATCTATGATGGTAGTCAAAACTAAGGTTTGAAATAAGGGGTCCCTGATTCCAAATTCTGCTATTAGCTCATACCAAATAAAGAGGACAGAGACCCATACAGATTATGAAATAATTGTATGTATCTCATAGTTTTTGGCTTACTCAAGTGTGTGAACACAGCCTCTAAAATTGGGGAATATGTAAATACAGTTACACTAATAAGTGCATTAAGAGGTTCACACATGACACTAAACCATAATGTGGCTGCTTATTTGTGCTTTAACATGTTGGGTAAACCCAGCCATTACAGTTTTTAAACCATATATTTAGCTTGTTTGTAAAGTATGTGAATCATGATGCTTAAATACTGCCAACTATGATTTAAGGAGTCCATGACTTAGCATGATTTGCAAACCTAGGCCCTAAAGTTGTGTTCATACTTCATGTAAGCAGTAATGTGGCTTACTGATTTGTAATTTTAACTGTTGTGTGAATCTGCCTAATTGTGGTTTATTCTATAAACCATCCTTAAATAAACTCCAGTTTAGCACAGTGCATGAACTGTCTGAGTCTGTCAACCTCTTGTTTATCATGAATGTAGCTAATGGTTTCAATGCACTGGTGAAATGCATCCAACATAGCAAATCCTTCCTTCTTCTCCATATTTACAAGAGTATCTTCAGATGCTATTGAACTTGGAGGGGTGTAATGGTCTGTGAGAATGTCCTTGAGAGACAGGAGGAGGAGGAATATGTATTTTGAGACTTGTGAGATTGATGTCAGCCCTTTGAGGTAGTCCAGACAAGAAACACAAACCATGAGTACTAACACTACCTTTATTGTACGGTTACAGTAACTGAATCTTGCAAGGCTGAAAGTACATCTCTCCCCATTTGCCTTTACGGTCCAAGAAAATTAGGGAGGGTCCCTTCTAAGATGTTTGCCACGCTTCCATTGCTTCTGCAGGCTAAGCTGCCTCTTATCTGACCGTTGTCTAGTCTGTGGCTCCTCTTCCTCCTGTCTCTCAAGGACATTTTCACAGACTGTGAGGTCTGTAAATGGTCCAAGAATTGAACAAGTGAAATCTTTTAAATATTTGGGCATGGTTTTCCACAGCTCCACCAAACACAGTGCACACCAAAATTATGTCATACAAAAGGCTCAAAAAAACGGTGGCTGCAGTTCAATCTTTTCACTCCACCAGAGGAGCACAGCATATCCCAGCTAAGGCTGATGCACAATTACTTTTACACCTACACTTCCTTCACTCCTCTTAAAAGGGTCCAGTCTAAATTCCTAAGGGCTATATTCCAGATGGCCTCTTGCACTCCTAATGTAGTATTTAATAAGCAGGAAACAAAATATTCAAGTATTTTACACTTCTTCTAGCTTTCTTTAGAACAGAATTGTTGCATTCTGGAACAAAAAGAACTGTCCATGCACACTTGTTGACTTATTTCATCCATCACCCAGCTGTGGCTTATTTAACAATGGTTTATTAACTAAACCAGGTTAGGGACAGATTGTCATAGAGAAAATATATGTTATTGCTGAGAGTCGACACCAGCCTGATGGCACATAATCAAAATCAATTGATTAAACCACAATTGGCTGGGAGAAATGATCTAATGTCTAAAGCCAGCCTTTTACACTAGTTTAGGAGATAGCTGCATGTATTTAGATATTGAATCATAGTTTTAACCTCTGTTAGGCTTGGTTTAACACATATTAAACCATTATGTGTTTTGGTTAGTTTTAAAATTGATTTTAGGTCCACCTTCGGTCTAGTTCCCAGAGCAAGGCTGTGGACTAAGCTTATAAATACTACCATTGATAGACGGTTACTGTTGCTTGTACATAATTTTTATATGAATTCTAGAAGCAGACTTTGATGCAGTATGCAATGCCACCACACTAATGAGATTCCAACTTACAAAAAAGTGAGGCAGGGATGTATATTAGCTCCCGTGCTGTTTAATCTGTACATAAATCCACTCGTGGCCCAAATAGATCAATTAGAACATCAATCCCCAAATCTAGCAAACAGACATATTGCAACTAATCTTTTAGTCCAAATGTTAATTGGACTAAAACGAGCTCTGAATGCTCCCAATTACTGCTCTGAGGAAGCATTGAAATCAACTATAGTAAAACTAGGATCCTGATCTTTGCAAAGAGACCTCAACTGCATGCCTAGAGGATAAATGGCCCGAGTATTGAACAACTGAAA